CATGCCGCTGCCTCTGCTCTGGCTCCGAGAGGATCCTCGGCTCTCGGTTGCCGTCACCAGGGACCTGCAGAGCCCTCTCCTCGCACTGTGCACAGCTGCGCAGCCCGGCCGGAGCGGGGAGAGGCCAGCGGGAGGTCTGCCTACGGCTTTGCCCGCTCCCTGCACTGGGGACACACTTGCAAGCTGTATTCTGCGAGCCTTTTCACTGCAGGCTCTTGGATCCGCGTCCCGCAGGCTGCGGCCACGCTCCTTTGTGCGATTCATTGTACGGCTGCTTCCCCTCGAGAGGCGAAGGGGGGAAATAGAAAAAGTCTTAAGCTCCTAATATCTGCAAATCTCTCTTACAATGGAGGTTTCATAGGCCTAAAAGTGACCCCTGAGACCAGCCCTGCGGCAGCAGAGCCTGCCCGTGTGTGGAGCTGCAGGACGGTTAAGCTGTGGATGAGCTCCCATGGGTTAAAGCTCAACAGGAGAAACGTGGCTCAGCTGGGTTCACTACCTGTCTCTTTGCATCCTGCCTTCTTCCAGCTTTAGTCCGTGCAAAGGGGTAAAAAGAGATGTGGCACGATGTGCCTGTTGCAGGGACGGGGATGCTGCAGGCAGAGCAGGGTGGCATGCCAAGCCTGGGCAGCGCCAGCTGGGCCACTCGCCTTTAAACACTGGGGATGAAGAGTTTATGTCAGCTCACAAGGCAGCGGCATACTCACAGGTATAATCAGTGCTAATTTTGTGGCGGAGCAGTCCAGACTGCCCTTCCAGAACTGGTTTTGCCCCTCAGCTGAGCTGCTATGTAATTTTCAAGGTAATTTTTAGAGTCCTTCAGCATCTTGGGGCAGCATATCCTTCCCTGCAGAACTACTGCTGCAGAGAGCGGGACTGAAAAAGAAAAAAAGGGAAAGATAGCTGGGGAGGGGAATGCATTGTTTAATAGGCCAAGTAGAATAAGAATTTATTTTTTTTTGTAGATGAGGAATTGAAAAATAATTTCGTTTTAGCATTGACGTAACAGCAGGCAACTGATAAGCTCCAGCCAAACCCCTGGCCTTGCCGTGCTTGGGCAATATGTGTGTGTGCCAGGAGAGATGCTCCTGGAGAGATTATGAACTAGGTGCATGGGGGACAGTTGAAGGGAAGAGCTGCCCTTAGCGCAGGTGGATGTGGTGCCCAGGAGGAATAAATTCATTTACCTCAGATGGTGCAGAGCCGGACTATGTCCCGCTCCGTCCCGGTCTTGGGCTGACCTGTTGTAGCTGTCGGAGAGCTGGTGGGAAAGGGGGAGCTTTAGTTCCTCCGGAGCTGCCGCGAGCGCACCTCGGCTGTGCCCCACGTCCTCTGCGTCACCCAGCGGTCTCCCTCCACACGCGCTGCACCCACACCAGCACCCTGCCGCGGGGAAGCACACACCGGGGCGCGGGGTTTTGAATTAACTCACAGTCTGGGAAGAAGAAGGGAGCCCGAATCCCTGGCTGGGAGAAACCAGCTGGAGGACCTTCCTGGGGGTCCCACCGCCGCCCCCTCCCACGAAGTGACCCCAGGGCCAGCCCCACTGGGGTGCGGGAGGAAGGGGATGGGTGGAAACACTACGGCTCGGCACGGCGGGTGGGAAGGTCAGCTTTATGCCTCTGTGTCAGCATCTCTCCCTCTCAGGGAAGTGCTGCTCGGCCATTTCAGGGACTCGCAGGAGGCTCTTGCTTGGTACATATTAAAGATCCTTTCTCTGAACGGGCTGCAGATTTAGCCCCAAAGTTTACGGAGAGGTGCAGTCACTGCTGAGCAGCCTCTGGACTTGCCTGCCCTGGTTTCCCTGCCTCTCTTCAACAGCAGGCACCAATCCCACTCTCGGTTCAACCTGGTTTTTGGAGCAGGTACAAGGATGATGATGCTATTTACCAACACAGATCATGGTGAGCACATCATCTAGGGGAAAAACACTGGTGTACCCTTCTGCCTGGAGACGCTCTCGGAGCTGCTCCCTTTGGACTCGCTTTTGAATTCACGTGCAGGACTAAAAAAGCCACCTGGTTGTGCCATCCAGCAATCGCTGCACCTGGTGACACTGGATTTCCATCTGAATCTTTGGGCTAGGACCAAATCTTGTCCACTCGCATCAGACAACAGGAGATGAGTGATGTTTACTGCTGGCAATATCAATCACATGAACAGCTATTTGAAAATAGATGCCAATGTTATGAGTATTTAGGTTGCCAGGGCCTGGACAGGGACTGAATAACAGGGTAAATCCTCTTTTTTTTCAGCCGTCTCTCTGTTTAGGCCAGAGCTGGGCAACATAATGCATCACAAATATAAAAATTTGTGTGTGGAGAAGTGGTGTGACATTGGGTGGACCTGATCTGATCAAGGGTGTTGAAATGAGAAATATTTGCTTTCTGCATTTCTAAAATATTTCAGTTGTCAGTGGATTTCAGTTTAATTATTATCGTTAATAATTGCTATGCAAACCTCAGTATGTTTCAGCCTGGGTTGAATTCATCAGCTGTTTGGGGGCTTGTTTTTAGTTTTGCCTTAGTTGAAAAAGCTGCAAATGTTTGCCCCAAACAACTGAGAAAAAGTTTTTTTTGGAGTTTTTCCGGAAAAAGCAAATATTAACTTTGTTTGCACAACTACAGCCCTGACCTAAATAAAACTTTGTCCAATATGATGATCTCTTTTGCTTAATGAACTGAAAATAACTTTGAAAAAAACCAGAATATGGTACGACTCCAGTCTCACTTTGAAGACTTTGCTGGTTTCTTTCACAATCTCGTTATTTATTTTTAAATAGAAGCCTGGTTTCAGAAGCAAGTAAATATTTTGTCTTTAAAAGCTCATAAAAATATCTCTGTATTAGAATAGCTTAGGTGGATGACACTTACAGCGATGTGCCCAAGCAGCGTGAAGTTGCCCTTGCATACCTTGGCTATGCATTACAAACACAGTACATAAAACCGAGAGCGAGAGAACGTTAAAATACAGATTTCCCTCGAGATACTGACATAACAGAGCATGATTAATGCTCTGCTGGTTCTTACATCAACGCCCATACTGAACCATGCAGAGCAGAAACAGTGTTTTCTGTTACCAAAGTAGTGTGCAGCAAGAAAAAGGAGGGAGGGGAGGAAGCAACCCATACCTTATATAAAACCATGCCTTATATAAAACTGATGCTGGGCTCCAGCAGGTAATTCTCACATCTAGCCCAGTGTTTGTCACGGTTAAAACACCTGTGGTCTTGTCTTCATGTCCCCAACCAACCAAAAACTCTGTTCTTTGGTTAGAACATGAACAAATAACCTCCCGCCCTTTCCTTCATTTTGTCCCTTCCTCCAAGTGAATGGCCACAAATCTCCTGAGACGGGTTCAAGGCACATGGCAGCGGGAAAGAGGAGACAGGCTGTGGTTTTAGGGTGCAGGGCTGTGCCTCAGCTGAGCCATCAGTGGGGCAGATCAGCAAGGCACCATTGGCAGGAGATGCAGCCAACACCAGGGTCCAGTTGCTGTAAGGAGCACTCGGATGCGCTGCTTATAAAAACACTGTAGTGTTCTCGATTTGTGTCTTCTTTGGATACAGAGCCTGGCTGTGCTGCTTATATGGAAATAAGCCGTGCTCTGCTACAGCTGCTCCTTCTTCAGCAGGCAGCCCTGTAGGCAGAAGGGGCTGACACCTGGGGATGACTGCTGCGTTATTATAAATGCTGTAACCTGCATCTACCCCCCAGGTGTTCCCCGAGCTGGCCGCTCTGCCCCAGAGCGTCTGCAGAAACGCAGCGTGCAGGGGCACCACAGTGTTTCCAGGACTTGTATTTCTCTTGCTGCGATGCAGAAGAGGATGCACAGTAAGAAACCAACCTGCTTTGCTGAAGACTTTTAGTGTTAACGCCAGAGATTTTGTCCTTGCCAGCTAATCCCAGCTCTACTCCTAGTTGCTTTAGCATATGCCAGAGCACCATACCTACATTCATCAATGAAAGTTATCTGCGGAGAGGCAGGCAGGTGGCTTCCTGCCCTACACTCAGATCAGAGGTCCAGGTGAAGAGCAATCTACCGTGTAGGACCAAAGATGATGCATCAGCCCAAAGAGATAGTCATAGCCTTGTGGTGGCAAAGGGATCAAGACTGGACTTTTTTTTAAAGAAGCAGCATTAAGTTAAACTGTATTACTCATTCTTTCACCTGTGCAATCCCTTGACGCTTCTCACTATCAGAGCAACAGTAAGGTGGTTTCTGTTTCATTGCTCTCTGTCTTCGGAGCTTATTCTCTGGCATATGGGATCCCTTCATGGGATTCCTCCTGCCTTTAGTGCAGTGTTTAAGTGCTGACAACCTGAAATTTCTTATAATTGATGTTTAGGGGATTTCTGAATTGCAAGTTTGTTTGAACATCCTATATTTATGCTCTGGTCTTTGCTGGGTGTCATTCAGTCTGTGCAAGTGGGACCCTATCAGGACTGACTGGTCAAATCCTTGACTACCAAACTGATTTTCTTTTTGAAGCATGCCTTCAAAATATTGGGCTTTGGGGAATTTGACCTTTCTGTGTTCCAGCGGCTCTCTGCAAAGAGAAGGAAACCTTCTAGATAAAGTACATTGTGAGCCTGACGTACACAACATCAGCAAACTGAGGGGCAGGGAGAAACGAGAGATACTGAATTGAAGTATCTTTCTGGTGTAATAGTTGTGTATGTTATTTGTGTATTTCCTGATAGAAACGCTATCTGCAAAGTCCTGTTTTCCCTCCTGCCTCCCCACACAGCGATGTTCCCCTGTGCAGTTAGCAGTCTAAAATGTCTGCTCTTCCCATCTGCCAGAAGGAAGTGTGTGATCTATCACCTCCAGGACTCAGTTGGCCAAATGGCCTGGATCAACTTGTACCTGTCCAACTCTTCCCAGGAAGGCACGGGAAACAAATTGAAGAGAAATAGCACTGGTTGTGCCTCCATCTGCACCGGAGTCAGCCAGGACCATCTTTCCAACCCTTCCCAGGGCTCTGGCAGCCTTTGCCCCTAGGGTTTGGTGTGGACATGGCAGCCCCCCTTCTCGATGTTCTGCACCGGGTGGATTGGTAGAACCAGGTGGGAGATGCGGCTCCACAGCCCACTCAGCTTGTCGGAGTCCATGTGGTCATAGGAGCTGGGGGTCCTGGTGTTGGTGAACTTGGCCCAGAGGAAGTCACGGACTCTCTCTTCCACCTGCTGGAGACTGATGTGGGTCTCCAGCATTTCCTCCTCCAGCAGCACGGTCAGCAGTAGGGCCACATCCTTGAAAGCAGCACCTTCATGGTCGCAGTATTTGTAGAAGATGAGGGTGGCCCCCGCCGGCAGCAACTCGAAGCGGTGTATCACCGCAGCGCGGCCCCCAGCCTGGAAAGCTGAGCTCAGCTCTGAGTCCACCTCCAGCTTAGCCTCGTCACTCTGGAGCCTGGATTTCCCCATGCCATCGATCTGGACCGTGCTGGCATGCAGGGCAGATGAGTAGGTGTCAGCCACATGGGTGCTAAGGCATCGCAAGGTTCGCTCACCCGTGCGGGCAGCCGTGAAGATGATGATGGCTGGCTGTGTGTGGTGGGATGCATTGAGGTGCTTCTGCAGGAACTTGCGCCCGCGAAGCCACAGGTGGGGACTCTGTCCCGGAAACCTGTCCTGCAGCTGGTTGAACTGGGACAGAAAGGCCTCCACTGTGGGGTTCTTGGGGGCTTGCTGGGACTTGGAGGTTGGGTTGCCGAAGCACAATATGCAGAAGCCGAGCAATACGAAGCTCATGATGACAAGCCCTGTTCAACAGGGGAGAGACCCGAGATGGGGAACAGAAGTCAGTCCCAAGTGAACTGCAGTGATATGCTGGAAAGTAGCTACAAGGGCTCTTTTTCCCCTTCCAGACCTTTCCCACTACCCCAGGAAAGTGGTTCAGATTGGCACACTCTCTGGGGACCCAGGAATGGTGAAGAGGCTGCTCGCCCCATGTTGTGAGACCCATGCTCCCTACACACCAACTGGGGAGGACTACAGCTCCAGAGGTGGAGGCAAGGCTACAGCTCTGTTGTCACAGTGCAAAATTTCGTGAGGAAATTGCAGCTGGCCATAAACTTTCTTCCCTTCCCTCCACTCTGTTTTCTTTATGGTTTGTGGCTGTTTGGAGCACCTTCTGCCACATATGGAGGCGTCTGACCCAGCTAAGGTGTCCTGTTCACTGCCTTCCTCCTAGCTATGCTGGGTGAACAAAGGCTACTGTGCTTCTGCCCAGAAAAGGAGGACAGCGAGGTCCAGACACAACTGCTCGCATCCCTCTTTGTGGCAAAGCAGGGTCTCTTTCTACCAGGAGAAATGTGTGGTGCAGATCAGCGTCATGGTTCCTGCTTGGGACACAGAGGGGGACTGGGAAGGGGGGACCATCAGCGTAGGAGCCTCAGGCCTCCCAGGACATGCTGGGGTACTCCCGGCATGCTGAACACCATGTGCCTGCTTTTGAGGCTGGAGAGCTGGAGGGAAAGTTGCTACTATAGGCTCAAACTGAGCCTCTTTTTAAGGGGATGTTTTTTCCCTCAAACCCTCAGAAAAGGCTGTGAAAGGTCCTGAGAGAGAAGAAGAATTAACTCTGCTTCATTACTTGTTCCTGGAGGATCAGTGCCTTCTGGTCGATGAGTAACGCACAACGGAAGCTTCTTTTCCTCACCTTTCAGCAAGACGGAGTTTTTGGCCTTCTCGGCCTTCTCCTGGTCTGTGTTTTGGGTGGTGACATTCTGCAAGCAGGACTGAGCCTCTGGCTTTGGGGCTGTGTGCCCTAGAGTAAGAGAAAGAAACGTGCCACTCAACATTGAGGGAACAGGTAAGTTGGGCTGTAATAAGAAAAGCAACAGAGCTGCCAGGAGCTGCCAGAGCTGAGGAG